GGAATATAGCGATTTAAGGAACTTAGTTTCCAGTTACTATGTTGGGAAACCATATTAATTACTATATATGCCATTATTTTGGTAACTTATTTTAAGTTTCTTGACAGAAACCCAGTAGAGAGGCTGGGGTGAGTGGGTTGAGTATGTTTTAGGTTGGATACTGCCCCCACTCAATGACAGCTGGGTATAGCACCTAAACCATGAAGATATGGAGCTCTTCACATTCCCCCTCCTGTAGACTGCTGGGTGGCCAGTACCCCGTGCTTCTAGTTTGTGAATTCAGAGAGCTTTGACAGTCTCCCGGCCCGGCTTCGATTTCTGATGGCTTCGATGATGGCGGGTCTTCTGATGGTAGGGATTACCATGATCACAGGTTGGATGATGGTCACTAAAGCACCACCAGCACCTTTCTGGTTGTTGCATTCGAGTGTTACCATGCTTAGGTTGGGTCCAGCGGCTGGGTTCTGGCTCCGAGTCTACTCGCTGAGTTGGGGGGGCTTCATAACTCTACTTCTAACCCCTGTGAGCCATAGAATCCCATAGAAACCCATAATAACGCGGGTTATTGACAATGTTAACCTACGTGATCCCCAATTGCTCCATAAATTCCCGGGCTTGCCATGGGTTATGACATGTACCAGCCTTGTTATCAGAACTCCTTGAGTCGTCGCGTATGATTCTGGCAGAGAATTTGTGCCTTTCTCGCAGTCTCCATTCCATGTGCATTGCGCTGATAATTTTGCATGTCCAGCCGTATTTGTACGACGGCGACTGAGTGTGCGGTTGTATTCACAGGTTCCTTCCTAGTACTGTATCATAGCGACTGTAAACACTCCGCAGCGTGACGTCCGACTCCCAAGTGAGCTACTTCAGCCGCAGCTACAAAGAACACCCATCTAGCCACACACACGAAGCAGACATAATTTCCTACGTTCGGAGTTTGTAGCTTTCAGCTCAACCTTCATGACTTAAGAGCCTCATAAGTTGCAGGTTGGCCGCGAGTTCTTCCTGGCTGGCATGTACTTTGTGCTGGCCCCGGTATGTTCATGATCCGGGTCTTCATAATCCTGGTCTTGCTCTACATTGCTCTGACCTTCCTCTACAGCAATCGGTACTTAGCGGAGGGAGGCCCCAAAAGGTGCCAGAAGTAGTAGTATGGGGTTGTAGCGTTGTAGCTGCAAAAGGTGCCAGGATCTTAGCAGTCCACTTGTTGGGAGTCACCTTGAGTAATAATTGCTGCTTGGATGCGCCATATCCTTCCAGTTTTTCAACTCTCTCGGGCTCGTATGTTCGCCTGAAGCCCTGTTTATCCCGAAGATACCGCGCGCGTGACAGTATCCGAATTCCCCGTCAGGCGTAATTATTTGGTCATTCTAGGATGCTTCCGGCACAGCAGTCCAGACAGACCATGGCGTTGGGCAGGTCGTTGCCGGCTTTCTTAGCTCATCCTCCACCGTTGCGGAGCCTGAGGCAGATCTGAGTGTTGGTTTGTGTTGGTCCTGACTGGCAGTGGGAGCTTGGCAAAGCATGCAAAGCTGTGAAATGCTGTGAATACGTGGCGCTTGGCTCTGTCTATTGGACAAAACAAGACTTTTCAGGCCCTTTGTCGGTTGGATCTGCGTGGCCATGGTTTCGACAAAGCGCGGGTCCTTTGGCGCCACGGTGGCCGTTGGCCTGGCCGTGGTGGCCGCCTGGAGTTGCCTGTGGAGACACGCAGATGAGGACTTTGTGACGGGCGTGTCAGTGCAGCCCCGTGAGTCGGTGGTGGCCCGCTGTGCTGTCGACAAGGCGATGAAGGATCGCCTTGCATCCGTAGCCAAGACCGCGAAGCTAACGGATGCCATGCGAGTGGTCGCCGCGGCCAAGGTCCGCAATGCCCAGAACGGTGTGGAGAAGCAGCGGCCGTTCACCGACGAGCTCCTGAGCATGATCAAGGGCCTGGTCAAGCGGCTGAAGGGCAGCGGCTTTGAGGCGGAGCTGCCCATGCTGCGCGTGCCAGAGAAGGTCACCAACGTGGGCATCCTGATGATCACCGCCAACCGAGGTCTGTGCGGCGCTTACAACAGCTTCG